TACCAGGTACTGGGCAGAAATCAGTCGGATGACATTTGGGATTTTACGGAGCTCCTCCGGCAGGTTGATTCTTTTTCGTCGCATTTATGGTGGTAACTGATGGTCCCCTGCCTGTGAGCTGTAGTTCTTTCTAAGCCACGGTCCCTCGGCAATTTCCGTAAGTGTTCGGGATCTGCACGCGAGTTCCCTCTGGCGGCAGGAACGGCCAGACAGCTCGCGCGGGGCTGGAGACGGTGGACTGGCACGCGCAGGCGTAGTTGCACCCCGGTGGCAGTTCAGACCGGAAGTGGTTGCCACTGAGGTCAGTTCCGGCGGGTGACGGTGCGAACGGGTCAGAAGCGTAGAAGCGGCGGCAAAATGGCGGCGCCTGAGGAGCGGGACCTAACCCAGGAGCAGACAGAGAAGCTGCTACAGTTTCAGGTAGTAGCGAGTACTCGGTGCGGCAAATGCCGCGTCGGGACGGGAGTGGGCCCCTAGAGGAACCCCGAATCCTCTTCACATCCGGGCCAAAATGCTTCTCAGGCCAGTGGGCGGCCCCCTCCCCCAGGCGCCAACTGCCCCGCTTTTCCCGGCACCCGACCCTCTGTCGGTAGCCGGTCTTCCAAGTATACCTGTGGCCTGACCCGCCTCTTTCCTACCCCTTTGCTCTCAGTGGATCAGCGTCCCTGGTTTCCTTAAGCGGCGCCTCTCCTCAACTGTCTTTCCCAGTCTGGTTACCGGGCAGACCCTCTCTGTCCAGCGATTCTCTGTTCATCATCATCCCAAGATGCTTGCGTCCCCAACGCATGGTTGACTTCAGTTCTGGTCGCCGGAAAGGTCGCACTGGCGTCACGTGTCATTTTCCACAAACATTTAGCGGGGGTTCTCGGGTGCCAGGTCCTGTCTTGTGCGCCCAGGTGGGGGTGAGGGCCCGTACAGACAGGCCCGGCTCAAGTCCTGGATGTAGGGGAGGACACCACGGAAGGGAACAAGGAGCACTAGTGGCTTCGCATTCAGTTCAAGTTCAGTGCGCGGGGCTTTTTCTGGACTCCTTGTGCTTGAGTCGCCTTGTAACTTACAGAGACCTACCTTCTCGTAGTAGAGATCGTGTAAACATTCGACACAAGACTTTTTTCTCAGAGATAGGAAATAAGTGTCGGATAGCCTTTGCTCTTTGTCATCGCTGATGGCTACTTGTTTTCTTATCTCTAAAACGCATATCCCAAAAGTTCCTGTCTCAAGATGTAGAGATCAGAGGTTGTGTAAACGGTAAGATACTCCAAGATATTACTGCTGCTATCAACGTTGAATTAGTGAAAGAATTCTTTTCTAAAAGAAATAATGCTGAATATTTATTTATTCAACATTATAAAAAAAAAAATCTTTGTGCTTGGCACTGCTGGCTGTTGTTGTGAGTTGCTGTGAAGTCTGAACAGGCTCCCCAGCTAGTTTTTAGAGGCTATGAATGGTGAGGGAGGAGACAGGCAGTCCATAGTTCTCTCCTAGAGCAGCTGCTGGATTCGAACCTCATGCCTTTGGGTTGGCCGTGGGCATCTTTCTTACCCACTACGCCAGCAGAGCGGGGATGCCATTTACTGAGTATTTTGAATGACAGTATGGACATTGTTAAACACTGTGTACCCTATCTCGTTTAATAACAGTCCTGTGTGGTTGATACTGTTGCCCTTGTTTTACAGATAGAGGATCTGAAGCTTAGGAAGTAACATGCTAGTTATGAAGCTAGAAAATGTGCCAAATTCATTGCCAGATCCATCTTTCTGGAATTTTTCCTGGCCTCTTGACTTGTACAGCCAAGAATACAAATGCTTTAGTAATTGTATGTGTGAGTGGATTTGCAAGGTCTCATTTTTCTCCTATTTCCTAGTGTAGACTTCGTTGTAATTAATTGGAAAGCTTTTTATTCAGAAATCTAGCAATG